GGCAAGCCCAGGAAAGGCAGTTTAAACTGCCTTCCCTTTCTTTCAAGTGGGGGCTTGCCCGGGTGCCCCGCAGCTGTGGGGCACCCGGGCAAGCCAAAGGAATGCATGGGGTGTGGCCTAATATGCTAATAAGCTGTGTTGTCAGGGGTGTGGCATATTATGCTAATGAGTTCCTGCTGGGGTTTTTCTACAAAAAAAGCCCTGGTGATGGGTAACTTCTCCCATCAACAGCTGTAGAGATAAAGCTTTAAGAGGCTTTTCTACCGACAAGAGTCTGTTCTTTCTTTGAAAGTACTACAGATAGGCAAAAAAACATCCTAACTTAAATAAACACTTCAAAAAGTAATTAAGGCCCGGGTCACAAGGGCAGGAAAATGCGGGGGGGAAGCGTGGCTGTTGCCCTGAGCAAAATTACATGCGGTTGCGCAATCAGACGTCCTGTAGAGGTCCCGTGGTTAGGGGGGAGGTGCCGATCACAGGACTGTCCTGCGGCGCGGCAAAGAAGCGGCCTCTCTAGCAGAAGGCTCCAAGGGTTTAACCCCTTCCAGGGCTGCAGAGGAATGCAAACTGTGTCCTCCGTCCAGTCCCCTCCAGGAGGAGCTTCAGCCGGGCTGCCCTCCCGCCATGCCCCCCCTGCACCTCCCCCTCTGCCGGCCCGTGCAGAGAGTTCCTCTCGAGCAGGCCGAGCCAGGAGTGGGGGGGTACAGAAAAGAGGAGGGGGCTGTGTTGTTTTTAAATGAAGTGTGCGCATGCGCCATTGGGTGCTTGTGCGCATCCCATGGAGACTTGAAAAAACCAAACCTTTTAGCGATGGGACATGGGCGGGCGCCGGATGCCACAAGCTACCACCGGAAACGTGATCAGGCGCCCGCCCTTGCCCCACGGTTTCCGGAAACTAGTACCTCGGAGGTTGCAGTTTTTTACCCCGCATCTTCGGGGGGAAGCCTCGGGTTCGCCACGGGAGCTCTACGCTTCCCAGATGTGGCGCTGTGATCGCGCCCGAAAAATCCGCCTATCTTCCATCTCTGTAGTGTGGCTAATGCTCCGTGTGACCGCAGCCTAAGCAATAAGTTAAAAAGAGATGAAGATGGTGAGAAAGAAAGGAAGACCATCTCCATGAATTTAGCTATCTGGATGTGGGGGGGGAACCTTTTAAAAATTATTGAGTTTATTACAGCATATATACAAAATAAAAATACATCAGTATTGTACAACGTTGTGATAAGTAAGATATTGAATGTATAAGATGCATAGAACGTCATACAAAAATATTTCTCTATTATATTGCATTAGAGAAGCGGGAGAGGGAGTAGCAAGAAGGGAGGTTGGGGTGGGTAGGGTTGTGTTTTGTATTGTATTCTGAGGTCTATTCATTGTAACCGGCAATTGCTGAATTTGGTTTGATTGAATCTGAGTGGTTGGCCATCTTGTGTTATAGCTATATGTAATGTATTTATAGTTTATATTGTAATTTTAATGAAATGTTTTATTGTATATCTATATCTATGTTGTTAGCACCCTGAGCCTGCCAAAAAGCAGGGAGGGCGGGATATAAATATAATAATAATAATAATAACAACAACAACAACAACAACAACAACAACAACAACACTGAACAACAACCAACTACCAAACATATCGTACAACCTTTTCATGTCAGATATTAAGCAAGTTCATATGAACCAATTTTTTAGGAACCACATTGTGAGAAGCCAAATAACCTAATACAGGAAACCACTTTACTATGAATTTGGAGTATATATTCCTATCCATATTACTTTGAATTATTTGATCTGTGATTTTTCCCCCCATTATATAGAGATTCCATATCTTGTTATGTGACATTTATGGAAGGCCCTGCCTTGTCTCTCCATTTAGCAGCTATAGCCTTTTTGGTGCAATCAATAATGTGGCCATTGATTCTTTAGTAGATTTTGGTATATCTAGATCTGACCAATAGTTTAGGAATAAGAGTTCTGGTTCCATAGGTATATTAAAGCCAGTCATAATATAAATCCAATTAAAACCTGTTCCCAGAATGCCATGATAACCTTGCACCTTCACCAACAATGTTCAAATGAACCCACTTCTCCACACATTTTCCAGCACAACGGAGCACACTTAGAAGACATATGAGACAATTATGAGGGGTTAAATACCCATGAGGTAGAATTTTAAAGGTCTGAAGCTTTATATCATTTGACCAGATCCGACACCATTAATTTTTGGATACTTCCAAAGGACAGCTCCTTTGCCACCTTTTTTGATACAATGTCTGTTTAATACTATCTGAAAAGATCAAAATTTTATATATTGTGGAAAGAGTACCCCGTTTTACCTGGCCAGAGGAATTCAATATAGAGCTATAATGGGTCGAGTAATGTTGGCACAAGTTTAAACGTTCAGCTGGGTTTTTTTAATTAAATATATCTAAACCAATGCAGTTTATTACTCAGTTTACCTTCAAGCTCAATTTTATCCACAAGGCCGCTTTTATTAGAGATGTCTATGAGCCTTTTCAATTTGGCTTTCCTCCATAATGAATAAAAGGAGTGCTGATTTCCAGGCAAAAACCATCCCTCATTTTTAAAAGAAGAGAAAACAGACATCTCTGGTAATAATTTTTTTCCTATACTTATCCCAGGCTGACAATAGAGAACATGGGGGGGGGGAGACCTTGAAAAACCTGTGTTATGGAGAAAACACAGGCCCCAGGTGGCGGGAAAGACATCACCAGAAAATCTGAGGCCTCAACATCTCTCCCTGCCATGAGTAGACAGAGATTACCTTAGGGCAGTACTAAGGGTATTCCAAAGGTCTGATAGTGGCCAGTCAAGGCAATTTGCAGGGCAGAAAGCCCATGGAAAGGTATGTAACTCTGTGTCCTCTCTCTGAGTGGGACATGGGGGGAGGTAAAGGCATGGGCATCCTCCTTGTCCATCTCAGTCCAGCTGCCCAGCAGCAGAACAAAGCTCTGCCATTCGGGATAGTCCGTGTTGCCTTTAGGACAGAAATCATCAAGTGCACCTCTGCAAGAGGATGTGGCAGCATCAATGCACTCTGTAGGGAGGGGGTAGGAGTGCAACACTAGTCACTGGAAACTTCTGCCCTGTCATGTTTGTCCCTCGTTTGTCCCTATTGCTTCAGGGTTCCCCCCCCCAATGTGTTTTGCTCTCTCTAGTAGTCCCAGAGGGAGCAAAACACATGTGGAAAGGGGGGGGCCAAGCAATAGGGACAAATGAGTGACAAGAATGACAGTGCAGAAGTGGCCGCTGTGTACCTTCTATTTCCCTGCTGGGTTTCATTTAGGTGACCCTGGCCGAGTCTTGGAGCCAAAGTTACAGTGGAAAAGAAGGCACTAAAGGAGGCCTAGGCTTTGTCTACTTCTTTGCTTTCTAAAGCAAATTCCAAGAAATCCTCCTGACTGCTCCCTTAGGAGTTCTATGTGTCCACTTCAGGGGCTACTTACAGAAATGTTTCCCTTTGTGGAGCCTGATTTCCTTAGAACAGTAGTTAGGCAGGGAGGTCTATCTATAGCATTTCCTACAGTCTATGTTTCCCCCTCAAATGGCTGTGCCCCGCCCCAGCGTGCCCGGCGTCATGACGTCACTTCCCTGTGACGTGCATGCGGCGCGCGCTTCGCGCACGCGCGCCAAAAGCCAGCACAAAGTCCCCCACCGGCAGAGGTAAGTCGATTTGGCAACCCTAGAGAGTGTCTCCAGACAGATTTCCAGCTGAGTTTGAAATTGTGCTTTTGGCAGTGAGGATGTCTCTTCCTTGTCGTGGATTATTCAGTATGGACATAGATGAGACCATTCTACTTGTTGAATCAATAGCACTGTCCGGTAGCAACATCTAGCCCTTAGATGTGTAACAAAAAGAGGGGATGTTCCCTCAAATGAGCTGTCACCTGTTCCAAAATTTTGGTCTTGACTCCTGCCTCTGTCTCCCACTTCTGGCATGTACTTACAGAATGTGCTTGGGACCCAAAATGAGTGCCAGTGTTCTGATTCATCCTTCAGAAGGAGTAATAGCCTAGTCTGATCTGGCTGCCTTAGAAACCAAACCTGTCCCTTCCATTTCATGGACAATTCACTACAGACTTATACCAGATTGCTCTGCTTATTGAATCAGTAGAACCATCCTGTAGGAATGTATGTTTGTGTGTTTTGCAATAAATCTTAAAAGATGCTTTCCTGGTGAATTTCAGTTGTTGTCATGGACTATTTTTTAAAAAGTAAATATATGTAAATATATGTAAATATGTGTTTTATATGGCTGATTTCTTTGATTTTTCAAGAGTAAACTATCCTTATTTACAGATGTGGATGAATGTCTACTGCAGCAGCAGCTGTGTGCAAATGGACAATGCAGAAACATAGCTGGATCCTACAGATGTCTTTGTGGCCAAGGCTACCAACTGTCAACCACAAAAGACTATTGTGAAGGTATACCTTCCATAGTGAACAGGTTTCCCATGATAATTCAAGTACTATTTTTATATTTGTAACGTTTATATATTAAATATTATAATTGTACATAGCTTCTACTACCTGTGAGTCAGTTAAGTGCCATTATCCGGCACTTATCCAAATAACAAACGTAAGAAAAATTACAGGATAGCTCAAATTCCCTTAGAGACTGAAGCCTGGGTTAAATTTTTAAAGGAGTCTCATTCGACGTGGAACAGTCACACAAAAACATTATGTTTTTTGTAATAGCTGCAATGATCATTTTTATGCATTAAATGCACAATTTTTTCTCATACACTCAGGAAAATAAAGCAATTCCTCCTGATAGTGCATTCAGTGCAGTTATGATTGCTATGTGGAATGTGGTAGATCACAGCCACAGATTCTAGTATTTTTGGTGGTGTTCAATAGTATATAATAGTGTCTCCATCCGTGTAGTGTATCATATTGTGAAAAATGTACCGGTTATAATTTTTTTCCTTTTTTAAAAAATAATATTTTTATTGTTTTCCACACAATAAGACAAAACACCCACCCATCCACAACTTACAACATTAAACACAACCTTTCCCCTTTTTTAGCAACACAGAGCAGTTAACAAATCATATGAAGTAATTCGATAAATGTCCAGTTCTTGTTCTCATCCGCCTTCTCCACATTATGTTGAGCAAAACCTTTAAATTTTATTTTCTTTGGAATACATATATTACCTTAATTTGATTCCCATTACGTATTGACCATATAAGAATATAACACATAGTATTGACTCTGGTCTAACTGGCTAGCTATATTCTTCCTTATTTGCCTTATATAGTATTGGCTCTGATCTATTTAACTCTATATTTCTAGACCAGTAATCTTGTAATTTAACCCACCAGGTTGTGCCCTCAGTTGTATTCAATCATCCTATACCTTTTGAACTGTACTATCACAAACGTCATTTAAAATTTTTAACCTTATTGCCCAACCTTCTTAAACCATTGCATGCAAATAAATAATTGCCAACTACATAAGTAATGAAAATATTGAACATAGATAATTGGTTAACTAAAGGGATATCCTATACATATTGAGCTGTACTATCACCCAAACCATTAACAATTTTAACCTTATTTCAG